CTCACTACATTGTCCTCTCAGTTTTCCAGTGAAAAGTGATCCTGACCCACTGCCACTTCTGCCGCTGATTCAGCAGTTGTCTCTCTACTGACCTGCACTATACATCTGCATCTATTGCTGTCAGCTACCTTCCCAACCTCCAGTCTCCTGGGTAGCCCTCTGAGCAGCCCCCCAGAGCTGGTTCAGTAAAAGCAGGTGACGTGATTGTCCAGTTCAGTTGTTTCTGGCAGCGGGCTAGGTGGTGGTAAGTGGTGGGAGGCTGGCTGACTGGGAGGCATGCAAGAGGTAAATCCCAAGACTGGGAAAGGCTGGAGCCAAGCAGACCCACAGGCAAGCTGACAGAGATTTTATCTGGAGGTAGAGGATAGCATATCAAAGGCTAGCTGAATAGGCAACAGAATGAAGGCTAGATGATGGGGGGGAGGGGGGACATAATTGGCCTGCTATGTCAGCAACCAAGCACCCTGGACTCTCAGCTGCTCACTACATTGTCCTCTCAGTTTTCCAGTTAAAGAAGATCCTGTCTCACTGCCACTTCTGCCATCGATTTAGCAGTTGTCTGCTGAGGTACTGAGGTATTGGGAACCTGAGATTGCAAGGATGATGGCCTTTCCCCATCAACTAGCATCTATTCTTCCTCCCAGCCTTGGGCCAACTAACCTCCCGCCTGCCTCCCAGCCAGTTAGCTTTGGTTGTGGAAAACTCCAACGGAAATCTCGGTCAGCTTGCCTCGGCTCTGCTTGGGTACAGCCTTCCCTAGTCTTGGGATGCCCGGCAGAACTGAGCTGGATAATCACATCACCTGCCTTCATTGAACCAGCTATGGGGAGCTGCTCAGAGGGCTACCCAGCGGACTGGAGGTTATGAAAGGCAGCTGACAGTAGCAGATGTTCCTGTTGATTCAGACAGGGTGCAGGAAGGACAGACAGCTTGAGTGCAGGGGAGCAGGCGTTTGACTGAAGGGCAACTGATGATCATGATGGGCATGAGCGGCAGATTGAGGTTGCTGTAGGGGAAATTCTATGCTACTGCACAATTGAGAGGCTCATGCACTTGTCTCCTGTGTCATCTTTGTATATTGCCCAAGACGAAACCAGTGAGCATGGACAACGGCACACACTTTAAAAACCAGTGGGTGGATGAGGTGCTGTCCGACCACACCAACAGCGTAGCGGAGACAGCTATCAGAGCAGCAAAAGAGTGGATCATTAAAAATGCATCCCACTGATTGGGATGAGCCACTAAAATTAACTCTGTTCCTTAAAGAGAAAAAAGCTATGGGATCCATCCTTCTCAGATCATATTCACCCTGTCCCTCCTTTTTCCCCAGGAGATCGAGTTTGGGTAGCCAGGAGAAAAGTTTATCCCGAAGCAGGAAATTTAGAGACCAAACTTGAGGGACAGGACGTGGTTCTCTTTCAGGAAGGTAACGTTGTCCACCTGGTTTCTCCCCTGTGCCGACGTCACAAAAATCGTCCTCTGCATTGCACTGTCATTGCTGAGAGGACAAGATGATCTATACCCGTTTAATTCTGAGAAATTGGGATTCAGAAAGAAAGCAGGAAAAAATCAAAAGTGGGGAATGTACACATCTGTCAATGATCTGGGACCAAATTTGTCACCTCTTTGATTAAAATTCAGTTCCGTCTCTCTGTCAGAGTAACAACCCTGACAAAACCCGTGACCAACTGTTCCCTTTGATGAAGGCGAAAAATACTTATGATGTGATGTTTTAAGCCATCCCGCTCCAAATGCTGGAAGAATTGTTTATGAAACGCAGCAAGTTATTTAGGCAGACTACCCAGAGACAAGGAGCTAGACTGGGTCACACCAGTTTCTCAGAGAAAAGATTCAGGTGAAGTTATACTGCCATGCTTACTTCTCCCTGCTCCGTCAGAGTCCCTACCATGAAATTGAGGGTTTGCGTGACTCTGGTGCGAGGAGACCAGGGACAGGTTAGAACGGTTAGTGTGATACTATTACGGCTCTATTCTGGTGGGTAAAATGGATTATACCTGCTCTTATTTTAATGGCTGTTGTCATAGTAATAGGTGTTTTGCACAGGCTCAGCTTATTGCCTCTTACAATATACTTAATGGCTAAAATTCTTAAAGGAATATGTGTTTTGATTAAATATGGTTCAGTCGCTCTGTTCAAGACAACAAAGTATTGTTTAACTGCTCTGTTTAAACTCCTGCTCCTCTGTTTAAGATGAAATGAGGACAAAACTCTCCAGAGAGATATGCGAAAGAGAGGGAGGCAATTTGCAACTGAAGATGTCCTCCGTATAACAGAGTGAGAGCAACCGAAAAGGCAATAGTGATCCCCTGACAGGAAATATATGAGGAGTCATAATTTGAGACTGAAACCTGACCGATACAAACACTTTGCACTTGATGTTGACCAACAGCTGATACTCCTCTACAAGCTTCCTTCTTGACCAACTCTCTACCCTTAAACTCTGACTATGGCAGAAAATAGAACTCAAGCAGGCAAAAATCTCACTGAGGATGATATTTAAGAATTTATATCCATGGCAGTCAATCATCTTTCTTTTATGGCTCACCCAATGAAGAAAATGGCCACTGATCAGGGTAGTTGTCTTAGGTTTCTTTTATATATCGCTGGGGTTATACCGAGGCTTTTGCGGAGAACTAGCTGCCCCTGGATGTATTTTGCCGATCTATCTGACATGCTTAAGACCAATGGATTTCTCTTTTACCACATCAACATAACAGCCTCAACGATAGACTGTCTTCAGAAACTACGCATTTGCTGTCATCCTAACAGATTGCCTGATTACCACCTTTGTTTACTAGTTATGTGGAAAATAAGCTCGTGTGTCAATTATTAAAATGGATATTTTACCACGCATACATTTCTTCGATGTTGCCTTTACCACCCCCAATTGATTACTGGAAAAAAGTACATTCTCTGG